TTCACACTGGAAGAGATGTTGGAAATCATCTGGTTTTCCCATTATGTGCATTTCTCTCCCTGTGTGTGGTTTCCTACCGATTACTTGGACACTTCCAGTGACAAAATCTTCCTATTTCATGAAGCTGATCCATCACTAATGGATTTCTCCAATTGTTAAAAAAATGTCTTGTATAATTTAGAGTAACTATCTCTTTATGTTTCACTGTTGTTGCTGTAATAGGTTTGTTATATAAGTCTATTCCCTACTTAAAGATAATAAGGCTCAATGTGGAGCATATAGACCTAGATTTGATTTTAGCACCAACACATATTATCATATTACATCAGAGTACCATTTATTAGTGTATTGAACTCTTAATAACACTATTTTATTTTCCTTTAAAAATGTCTGTACAGTACATACTTTTCTCCCTATACCTTGCTATGCAGAAACAGAGTCAATAATTATAAAAATGATGATGATAGCATTATTGCATGTCAACTATGTGGCAGGCAGTGAAATAAGCCTTTTAAATACATAATCAGAATTTAAGTCATCTGCCTAATACTGCCTATTTAATATCTGCCTTATTTACTTTCCTGTTAATGGGATACAGTGTCCAACACCTGCAACCGAAGGGAGGGTAGGGTGTAGCAAAAAGTGCTCAACCTATGGCGGGCCAGGAAGCAGAGAAGCAGGGAGGAGCCAGGGACTAGAATAAATCCTTCCAGTGCTGCCCCCAGGGACCACCTCTAAGCAGCCCCACCTCCTAAAGCACACTCAGCTACTCAACTCATGGATAGATGAATATACTGTGAGTATAGAACCCGCGGCATCAAGGCACCTTCTACACACAGAAGCATTTGGACACATTTTCGGTCTCCACTATGACAATATCTGGAGAAGCTATTTGTTCAAGTTCAGGTCAGATATGAAAAAGCCTCTGGATTTAACCCCGTCAGGCCTTATTTCTTTGTTAAGTGGGGGTAATGTGATCTTCCTCATAAGGTTTCTATTTGATATCCTTTCTTGAAAAATACTCCCAATGTGTCATTTATTCATTTGAAAGACAGCCTTTTAAAAGAACCTTTTCTTTCCTTTTTCTCCAGTTTCCTATTTTCTGGGACAAATACCCCCAGTTCCTTTAAATTTCATTCATTCTGTAGACAGGTACTTTTGAGCTCAGTGCTCTGTTCGAATTTACATTCCAGAGGAAACAGCTAGTGAACAATAAACATGATAACCAAGTACATAATTTTCTGTATTAATGATAAGTGTCACTGTCGGAGATGGCCAGAGAGAAGGAAACTGGGAATCTCAAAGTGAGTGGTTCATTCTCTGTGACTGTGTAACAAATTACCCTAAAACTTAGTAGCTTCAAGCAGCCATGATCATTTATTATCTTCTGTGATTCTGGGAGTGAGATATGTAGATAAGACATATGAGTGTGGTTTATCTGTGCTGCATGATGTCTGGGACTCTGGCGCCGGCCCGAGGGTGGCATCCGGAACCGTCTAGAAGAAATGCACTTATTCACTTGTCTGGTGGTTGATGCAGGCTGTCACCTGGGTCCTCAGTTCTTTTCCACATAACCTGAGCTTCCTCACAGCCTGGAAGCTGAGCTCCAAGAATAAGAAACCGTGAGCTGGGTAGAAACAGTGTCGCCTTTTATAACCTAAACCTGGAAATCAGACAGCTTCATTTCCAGCACGGTCTGTTGGTGACGGTGATTTCAAGTCACACACAGGTTCAAAGATAAGGAACATAGACCCCATCTCTCAAGGATGGAGTATCAGTGTCATGCTGTAAAAAAAGCATAGAGGGGGTTGTACTGATACAGCCGTCTTTGGCAAACACTGTCAAATGGGACAAACAGGGCAGTTTTGCTAATGAGGTAGGTTTGTTAATAAGGTAACATTTGAGCTAAAGATTCAAAGGTGAGGGAGTATGTCATGTGCCTATCTCTCTCTGTGGCAGAGCCTGCAGGTTGAAGCAAGAGCCTGTGCAAAGGCCCCGCAGGTGGGAATGTACTGGGAAGATCTGGAGGCTGGTATGGCCATCCTACTAATTCTGGTGGTTTTTTCCTAACTAATCAATTAGCATAGTAGAAAAAGTAGTGTAAGAGATACAGGGCACAGAGGACAGATTATGTAAGGCCTTGAGCACCGCGGTAAGCACTTTGAATTTTATTCTAAGTGAGGTGGGGAGCCAAATGGAGTGCTTTGAGCAGACTTATGTTTCAAAAGAATTACTCTGGCCACAGTGTAGAGAATAGACTGGTGTGGGGGTGGGGCCTGAGAAGGGAGACAAGTCAGGAGACTGTTCCAGGTATTCCAGGAAGAGAAGTTAGTGGCTCAGCCCAACATGACAGCAGTAAAGTGGTGAGAGATGGCTGGTTAAAGCCAACAAAATGTCCTGGTGGTCTTCATGTGAAGCATGAAAGTATGAGAAGCCAGATGCCTGGGTCCTTGGAAGGAAGGATTGCCATTTTCTGAAATAGGGAAGGGTGAGTGCTTAATAGCTGTGTAGGAACACATCAGAGCTTCTGTTTTGGAGATGGCAAGTTTCAGATGTTTATTAGATAACTAAGTGGTGTTGTTGCAGAGGTATTTGGATAAATAAATAAAGAGTTCAGAAAGAGGTCTAAAGTGGAAATACTTTAATGAGTCATAAATGCAAAGATGTTACTGAATTTGTGATACCAGAAGCAAACACAAAGAGACATCACAGAGAAGAGAACCACAGGCAGAGCCTCACGGGTCCCCCAAGAAGAGGTGGAGAAAGTGCATCAAAGAGGCAGGACAGTGTTCCGACAGGACAAGGGGACATTTGGCAAAGGTGCGGTCACCGGTAACCTAGGCAAGAGCCATGCCAGAAGAGGAGGCAGCAGATGCCTGACTGAAACGAGAATATAGAGACCAGGAGAGGAATTGGATAAGTGGGATGCAGGCCACACTTTCCATGAATTTTGATCCAGATAAATGAGGAAAGAGAACAGTAACTAGCTAGGAGGAAAAAATCCCAGGGAAGGATGTGTTTTATTTATTAAGATTAAAGAAATGGCAACACGTTTTCAAGCTATTGGGAACAACCCAGTAGTCAGGGAAAGGCAGTACTGTAGGAGGGACATCTTAGCGTATTGTCCTCGCAGATGCTTGAATTGCGAGGACATTTTCTGACCTTCTCTGAGGGTGTCTATGGCGTGAGGACATGGGCCCAAGTAACAGATAATAAGAGAAAGGAAAAAGCTACCAGGCCACTACTTCCTCCGCCTGGGCCTTCTCTCCAGGGTGAAAAAAAAAAACAAAATCCTACACAGAAACGGGTAAGAAGCACCTTTCAGCTCCTAGCAACCCATGACAAGCCTCCTTCCTTCCGACTCTGAGCAGCACCGGACTGACCTGAAAACCGTGGAGGATCAAACTGACACCTCCTGCCACCAACTGACACCACAACACGATGAGGCGCTGTTCATTTAGGGAGAGGGTCTCAAAGAGCAGTAACACCTGCCAAGAGAAGCACCGGACGAGTCACTGAACAAATCCGTTTCACCCTTAATTTCAGAAGGGACCCATCAAGAACGGTGGCAATGAAATCGTGGAAAACAAATTCCTAGGTTTTTTTCTTTCTGCTGATTGTCCTTCCATTGCCCGTCATTTCCCTTCTCCTTACACTGCAGTGACTGTAGAGTTCCCTAGGTTTAGCACACAGCGCTGGGATAAGGGAGGGCATCTTCCACCTCCCAGGCACCCATCCTTCTGTATTTCACAAATAGGCTGTCAGGCTTAATGCTGAGAAATATTAAGGTTTGAAACGGTAAAGCTGCTTGCTCTGCAAGCGGCAGTTTTGTGTGCAGCTCAGATTTGTCAAAAGCGTGCTACTTGCTGAAGTGAAATTAAAACCAACATTCCTAGCTCATTAAAAGAGATTTGGGGGAGCGACAAACATTGCTGATTTTGTCTTTCCAACCTGACTGTCTTGTGATCTGTTCTGTAATTACTAAGAACACGAGCTGGATGATAAGGTTTGGATCTGTAGAATAAAGTCTTTTAGTGGCAGTCTTTCAGTTCCCAGTAGCATCTCAAATGTTTAATAGTAACATCTCATGAGGAAATTGAGTTCTTAGGACAAGACCATACTGTGAAAACACTAAGAATTAACTCAGAAATGGGGATAGCAGAGTGTGAAATGCCTCTGGCCTGTGTCCCTCTTTTTCCTGTGCGGATTTTCACAATCTAAGCATCAGAGAACATGTGTGTGATGGAAGCGGCGACATGAACAGTCAGTGTTATTAATGATGCCGGCCACCTCCCCTCCCACTTGTCACTATCTGTCCCCTCTGTGTCCCCTCTGTGCCTTGACCCCTCACTCTCTGCACTTACCCATGAATTGCATTCTGCATTTAAAGACTGCCTTGTGCAGAAGTCCGTTCTCTCCACATGAGCAGCTCCGAGTTCCAGCGTCCTGCACCCTGGCTGGAGTGGGTATTCTGATTCGGGTTGTGTTTCTAAGGCCGTTGGATTTATAAATTCCCTGTTGCACTGGACCTTGTATTTCCCTTCCTAGCCACAGACGTCACATGCCCTGATTAGTCCACACATGGTTCTTCATCAGGCTGGCTTGCACTTTACAAGGTGCTAGAGTTTTTAAATGAGCTCATAGGGTCCCTCGCACTTGACTTTATACCAAAGAAGTTATGGAATGATTAGCTGAATAGGTGCTGTTTATCCCCAAAGATGACTGGCTTTATTCATGCTTCAGCTGAGTGTCGGTGGTAACAAACAATTCTTTGTAAATTGTGATTTCAGACTCATGCGATTTTATGGCTTTTTTCTGCTGTATAAATGATTGGGTAGCTCATTAAATCTGCTGTGTTGGATGAAAGGGTGACTCCAGAGACACTGATGGAGGGAGAAGGAACAAGGAAGGGGGTCTGAGGAGAAAGAAAAACGGTAACCCTCACATACCTGATTGTATAATTTCCCCCTTATTGACCTTTACTGCCTTTTCCTCCACAGAGCTGCCCAGAAGTTAAATCTGTCTTCCAAAAAGAAGAAGCATCGACCTTCCACTTCTTCTGTTGTCGAGACGCCACTCTTTGCTACTAGCTTCAGTGGGATCCTGCAGGCCTCCCCTCCCCCGGCCCCGCCCTGCCTGCTGAGGGCTGTCAACAAGGTGAAAGACACGCCAGGCTTGGGCAAGGTAGGTGCCATCTGCCGCCTCTACCATCTGCCCAGTGTGTGTGGTTTGATTAAGTTCAGCAAAGAACAAAATGAGGGCTCCAACTTGTTAAAATAAGAAGGTGTCGGGGAGAAAAGGAGACAAAATGAAATTGATCTGGAGGTACAGTAGCACCCCCGTGCCTGTGGTTCCACTCTTTACAATCTCAGTTGCCCATGATCAACTGCAGTCCAAAAATATTGTGGGAAATTCTAGAAATAAATCATTCGTAGGCTTTAAATGACTTTTGTTGCAGTATATTGTCATAGTTGTTTCATTATTGTTGTTTATCTCTCACTGTAGCTAAGTTATAAGTTAAACTTTATCATATATATGTGGAAGAGATACATATATGTGGAAGATATTATATATATGGAAGAGATACATGTATGGAAGATATATATATATATATATGGTTTGGTATAATCAAAAGTTTCTGACATTCACAGAAAGTCTTTGAATATGTCCTCCATGAATAAAGGGGACTAGGTACTGTAAAATTTGCTTTGGTTACATAAATTAAGTAGTAAATTAAGACATTCAGGTTGTTGGAGATCTGGTGTGATTTTGACTGGGAAAAAAACAGTTTTACCTTGTTTGGCAGAACTGTAGCCATTTAAAAAAAAAAAAGGTGCAAAAACAGAGGCAAAGTGGGAGGCCCAGAGGAGATGTGCAGGAGAAAGACATAAAGACTGGTTGTAATTTCCCTGTGGCGCTTTCATTTCTTTCTCCTCTCCAGAGAAATCATGCCTTCTGCATTTAAACCAGACCTCCGATGGCAGGGGAGCATTTCTAGTCCTTCCTAGTCAAGAAACCCAATTTTAAATTGTTATAAAGACTTAGAAAGACACCTAGCAACACTGTTATGAGATACTGCGTAGCTACCTTGGGGATTACTTTATTTTTAAATGTCATCTCTAAACTCTTTTCTCTTTTCTGAGATAAATGTCTGGAAGAAGGAACTTAAGGCTTACTCCTTCATAGATAAATTAGCTGGGACTTATGAAAACATTTAGCTGAAGAAGGAGACGGGAGTTTTATTTTGTGTTTTCATCCGAAGTAAGACGGTTCACGCAGCAGGACCATTGACTTTGGCCTTGGGCTTCGTTTGGGAACTTGCTGGGCTTGCTGAAGGCAGCAGCAGTTAAGCTGCAGATGATGATTTTACTGACTCAGATCACTGACTCACTTTCCCCTGACACACACACATATCCATGTCCAGGTTCACGTCTGCAAAAGGCCTCCGGCCCCCTGGAGGTGACCCCAGAACACTTGGCCCCTTCTTTGTTTTTTTCTCTTGTCTCCTTCCATTCTCTCCCATGCCCAATCTCACCTCCCCTTTGGGAAGGCCTTAACTGTACCATAATTTTCCCCAAAGTGTTTAAATTTTACAATTAGCTTGAATAGAGTAATCGTTACTCTAATGGGAAAACATCGTCTTCTGGAGTTTTCCATGGTGGAGCAGAGAGCTATTGGCTGGTGGTTTCCGCAGGCCCGGAGGTCAAGTCAGACCAAGGTAGTGCCTGTAAGGGGTGCTCCATCATCACCGGATGTGGAAGCAGATGGAGAAAGCTGTGTAGACCAGGAGTCCTCTCTGGGAGAGGACACTGTGGGTGGTGACCACTAAGGAACGGTGGATGCCCCAACTGGGCACGTGGGGGCCAGAAGGGACGGTTGATGTGCTACTGTCTCCGGAATATGGGTCTAAGTAGTTCAGGGCTTTCTTTTTCTTTAATTGTGGTAAAATGTACACAGCATAAAATGGAACATGTTAACCATTTTTAAGTGTGCATAGGCTTTATTTTACTAAGTTTAGAATGTTAATGCTGGAGCTGCTGCCTTAGACAAAGAGAAAACCAATCACTTTCTGCTTCCTGCTCTCAATTATAAACAATGCCCCATTCCTGTTGTGAATAAATGACATCAGGACATCCCTTTGAAGAGATAGCAGATTATTGGTTAGCCCGGGCCCTCGTGTTACCCAAACTAACCCTGTCCAGGACACAAAATTAACCACATCGGAAACTGTCTTCCTGCATCTCCTAGAACACCCTGAAAGGACCAATGCGGATGCAGCTTCAGAGGAGCCAGACCCCCAAGTCCAAGGCCTTCTGGGCCCTGCTTACCCATCCCCTAACCCTCCCCCTGGAATTCTGAGGCAAGGTTATCGGGGCTCCAAGATCAGAGACCGAAACAATGGAAAGAGGATTTGCACGCAGCATGTTGACCCAGCACTTTCATAAAAATTGTTTGCATCTGGATTGCATCTGGATTTCATGATGTACTATGTGTAGTGACCAGGTATAAAGGCCCTTAACTAAAGTCTGTAAATCATACATCTGTTTGTTTAAAACCGAAGATACTGTCTCTCTCACTCCAGTATGTCACGGATGAGGGCGTTAGCCTGAGGGTCACAGAGGATGGCAGAAGGTGTGGTTTATATCTAACCAGTTCCACATGGCGGCTAAATCCACTCTCCTGTCCTGCTGAGTATTGGGGAACAGTGGTGGGCTCACGTGGCAGCCAGAAGGGATATGTTCTTGGGAAGATAGTAGTAATCGCATACTTATTTGGCACTGCTTTCCTAGAGAATGCCTGGTTTTCGTACTGCCGGCAAGTTTAAATTCTGCCCTATCATCGAGGTGCCTGTCGGACCACAGCAAGGCCAATTTTCCCAACTCCTGTTCGCCTACCTCCACTAATATTTCACTATAATTAGGGACTGCAGCTTTCTTTACCCATATGGAAAATTCTCATCAATTTATCTCTGTTGCATAATTTATATTTTAATATCTCAAAGAAATACAGCAGAGTTTAATATAGAACGTCAGTAATAAAAGCTATTTATAAACTGGTATGTTTGAAGCAGCTGCGGTCCATGGAACTGTCCAAAGCAACTTGAACCTTTAATCTTGAGCTGGGGCCCCCGGGTGGGGGAGGGGACAGCAGAGATGCCTGGGCATCTGGTGGCCCCAGAGTGAGAACCTTGTTAGCCCGCTTGGCCACCACCCTTCAGGCCTCATCGCCAAGACTGCTCCCTCGGGAAACCTGGGGGATTTTTGTGGGCGTGGAAGCGATTTTATGGGTTTATTTAGAGCAGTCCTCTTATTCAGTGAGCAAGAAAACTGCAGTCCAGTGAGAGTAAAAGACTTTCCAGTAGCTCCAGAGTCAGAATCAGAAGTCAAGACCATCAAGCTGTTGCATTTTCTACTGTACTACTGGGTTACCTCTAGAGACACAAGACCCTTTAAAATCTTGGGTGGAATGGCCAGATGTAGTGGCATGTGCCTGTAATCTCAGGTACTCAGGAGGCTGAGGCAGGGGAATTTCAAGTTTGAAGCCAGCCTAGGCAATACATGAGACCCCCATCTCAAAAAAGAAAGGGAGGGAGGGAGGAATGGAGTGTCGGGGGAGAAGAAGAGAAAGTCAATCTTGGGTGGAGACAGGAGGATCAGGGGGACACAGTGGCAGCAAAATAGCTTGGAACCCAGTTGCCTTCATCCAGTGGAGGACACACTGGGCTTCTCAGAGTCAGATCTGGTCAGCAAGCTGGAGACTGGAGTTGTCCGTGCCACCCCCACTCCCACTCCCTCCTGCTTGTGGCAGTGACCCCCACTCCTTCCACGTTGAGAGTCACTCCTGGCCACTGAACTACATATTCTGTGGAAGCCATGGAAGAGTTTGAGAAAACCTCAGTTTACTTAGAGCAAAATCACTGGACCCATCTCGGGATCCTCAGCTTCTAAAGCAGTTCTGATACTCAGCAAATATTTACTGAGCACTGGACATGGTGGCACGTGCCTGTAATCCCAGCCTTCTGGGAGGCTGAGGCAGGAGGATTGCAAGCTCAAGCATGGCTGATGCAATTGAAGAGCTTAGTATGAACTTGTTTCAAAATAAAAAAGGGCTGGGCATGTAGCTCAGTGCAAAGACCCTGGATTCAAACCCCGGTACCTTAAATAAATAAATATAGAGCATGTGCTGCATGCCAGGCACCATGCTGAGCAGTAGGTTTGCAATGATGGATAAGGAAGAGCACCCGTCCTTACGGCACTTATCATCTAGTGCCTTCGCTGCAGCCTGTCACGGAAAGGCAGCACATTAGAATCATAATCTTGTGCCTCCTTCCAGTCAAACATAGGAATTTCATCAATTTCCCCCAATGTTGAGGGACAATATGACTCCAGGAAAACTCAGAATTACAGACTTAAAGTGATTCTGACTTTCCACCTGTGCATAGAAACAATGCTACATGCCCTGGAGAGACTTTCGTAACGAGCAGATAGAGATGATCAGCGGATCAAATCAGCTTAGTCCTCAGCTCTGCTTCATTGATTTGGCTTATATGTAGATGATACCTCTAATCTGTTTGAAAGGGGCTCCTTTCCCCAAGTCAGTAAATGCTCTTCATGAAATTTGTTCACTGCATAAATTAACAGCCATGTTTAAGGTACATGTTAGTACGTCACAGCTTGTTGTCAGAGCTCTTTGTCTTGGATTTCAAGTTTCTGGGGCAAGTTTCTGTGTAACTTCCTAAGTTTGTGACTCTGCAGCTGCACCAAGCGTGCATGAATGCTTTTCAAGGTAAGGATGGTAGCGACCGTGGTCCTACAGGATCGATGACAATGCACCTGTGGTTTGGCTGGGTCTTCTCTTCCCAGAGTTTCAGAGAGGAAATACATGCGCATGAAGGGAAGAGGAACCTTCTGTTTCTTTATAACCTGCAGATATGCCTCAAAAGAACGACAATCAGTGACTTGTTAGGCACCCAGCCCTGTCCCCCAAATGTGTTTTGGGAATATTGGAGAATTCCTACAGGTGGATTCAAGCAGCAAAGGAATAGACTCTGTAGAATCTGGAAGGAGCATAAACAATTTGAGGGAGCAGGTATGAAGAAGAGGTGGTGGAAAATTAAACTGGGGACAGGTCAAGGATGTGCTCAGAAGGAACTATAAAGACTTACAGTGTCCTAGCTTCTTTAG